TTCCGAAAAGACGATTTTGAACAATTTTAGCTTCGAGATAATTAAAAGGAAAAGTGAAAGAGAAGTTAGGCGCCATTTTTTTTTCTCTTTGAATATAAGACAGCTGCGATACAGCTGATTATAGATAATGAATCATTGAGATAATTAATCGATCAATAAACAACAGTTTCTAGAAGTCTGTCGATACGCTTTGTTAGAGTTTCTGTAGTGATGAATTTTATAATGGATGACTTTCATGTCGGATCTAGGTTAGATCAGCTGATCGATAAAAATGGTTTTTTATTGATTATCCCTAACTCAGAAACATCTTCAATTCTCTTTGAAGTTTGACGTAGAATGTGAGAACAAATTGCGATCATATTTAGAGCGATTATTCGAATTCGACTCGGAATTCGTTTTTTCGAAGATTCGAGAGATTCGTGCTTCGCAGGGCATTTCGTATTCGAGTCGAAACTCGAATACCATCTAGTTTTTCTTTTACTTTCTCGACGTACGCACATCAACTCGTCATTTTGTGTCGCGATGATCTCGAGAACGGAACGTCAGAAAAATTCCGTTGAAATGGGAACTGTAAGAATCGACATCGAACCCGTGAAATCTTTCATCAGATTATCCAAAAGACCCCGAATCTTCTCATATGCTGGCTTCCAAAATGACGATTTTGAACAATTTTAGCTTTGAGATAATTAAAACGAAAAGTGAAAGAGAAGTTAGGCGCCAATCTTTTTTCTTTTTCAATATAAGACAGCTGCGATACAGCTGATTATAGATAATGAATCATTGCTATAATTAATCGATCAATGGAAAACAACTTATAGAAATCTATCGATACGTTTTCACAGAGTTTCTCTAGTGATGAATTTTATAATGGACGGTTTTCATTTCGAATTCAGATATGATCAGGTGCTTGATAAAGATGAAAAAACATGCCCATCTTACGTAGTCAGCAGCTAATTGAAATAAAAACAGCGATTAGTATAGTTCAGAAAATTGAATTCTCGTTTTCTAAGAAGTATCGTTTTCGACAGTTCTAGACATTCGTGCTTCGCAGGGCATTTCGTATTCGAAGCGAAGCTCGAATACCATCTAGTTTTTCTTTTACTTTCTCGACGTACGCATATCAACTCGTCATTTTGTGTCGCGATGATCTCGAGAACGGAAAGTCAGAAAAGATCCGTTGAAACGTGAAGTGAAAGAATCGAGACCGAACCCGTGAAATCTTTAATGAAATCATCGAAAAGAACCCCAGTCTGCTTAGAAACTGGCTTCCGAAAAGACGATTTTGAACAATTTTAGCTTCGAGATAATTAAAACGAAAAGTGAAAGAGAAGTTAGGCGCCATTTTTCTTTTCTCTTAGAATATAAGACAGCTGTGATACAGCTGATTATACATAATGAATCATTGAGATAATTAATCGATCAATAAACAACGGTTTCTAGAAGTCTATCGATGCGCTTTGTTAGAGTTTCTGTAGTGATGAATTTTATAATGGATGACTTTCATGTCGGATCTAGGTTAGATCAGCTGATCGATAAAAATGTTTTTTTATTGATTATCCATAACTCAGAAACATCTTCAATTATCTTTGAAGTTTGACGTAGAATGTGAGAACAAATTACGATCATATTTAGAGCGGTTATTCGAATTCGACTCGAAATTCGTTTTTTCGAAGATTCGAGAGATTCGTGCTTCGCAGGGCATTTCGTATTCGAGTCGAAACTCGAATACCATCTAGTTCTCTAAAGCATTACAAATTCAGAAAATTGAATTTGATCTGACAGATCGTGATAAACTTGTAGATCGTCTAGAAAAACATTTCGGACCTAAACTAAGTCACAATGCCTCTCAAAATATCGTCTATGCTGAAAGCTCTAGATATAATCAGTCTGACTCTTCTTCGCAAGTCTCTCATTGGCCTGAGTACGCCACCTGTATACCGCATGCAGCACCTGGCAATAATATTACTTATCGTGAATATCATGAAGCGCTCGACATATGTCCTGCACCGCCAAGAAGACGGCAGATTCAAGAATTCGTTTATTCTCTTTTAGATGAATTCATCAAAGCGCTTCATGATAATACCGATGATCAAAGGGTCTTGAATCTATGGAAACAAGTACTAAATAGTTGTAATGAAACATTTGATGATCACTCTGGAAATATTCAAAACTTAGTATGGCGTCTGGAAAATGATATAATACATACTTATAATAGTTTCGATGAAAGTAAAGAAGCTCTTCATTTTTACGAAAAAGCTCTATCTATATTGGAAAGCTCAACTTCACCATTAGTTGACATCGACAATATACGAATCGTATGCTTGGATCGTATTGCAACCATCCATCAACGAAACGATAATTTTGAATCAGCACTCGGTTATTTAATTCGTGGCTTAAATGTTATGCACCGCAAGGAAATAATACCGAGGGTAATTGCCAATAAAATGCGTCATATTGGTCTTGTGCATATGACCCTTGGAAATTATAATTTGGCGTTAACATCTTTCAATGATGCACTCATTATACTGCAATCAGATTCAATAGATCCGAATGATCGAGAGATTAAATTAACTTTAAGACGAATCGATGAAGCTAAAGAAGCACTTGAATCAACTACACATGCCTAAAACTATGACATTTTGATTTTAATACTACTATGGGTGTGGATGTGGATGTGGGTGTGGGTGTGGGTGTGGATCGGTGTGGGGTGTGGGGTGTGGGTATGGGTGTGGGTGTGGGTGGGTGTGGGTGTGGGATGTGCGTTTGGGTGTGGCTAACGTTCTTTAAACACCCACACCCACACCCACACCCACACCCACATCCCCACACCCCACACCCACACCCACCGCCAAACCCACACCCACACACCCACA